AGTATGAATTATAAAAGATTATTTATTTATTTATTTATTTATTTATTTATTTATTTATTTATTTATTTATTTATCTTTTTGAGACAGGGTCTCCTTGTAGCCCCAGCTGTCCTGGAACTCACTATGTAGACCAGGCTCGAACTCACAGAGATCCACCTGCCTCTGCCTCCCAAGTGCTGGGATTAAAGGCACGTGCCACCACGCCTGGCTGTTGTTTATTTTTTTTAAGACAGTTTCTACCTCAGGTTGACTTTGAGCCCCCTATGTAGCCAAGGATGACATTGAACTTCTGACCCTCCTGTTTCCGCTTCCTGAGTGGTGAGATTGCTGGCATGCACCTTCATCCCTGGTTTATGCAGTGCTGAGGGTAAAACTGAGGGCTTTGTGCTTCCTAGGTCTGCACTCTACCAACTGAGCTACATCCCAACCCTCCAAAAAATGATGGATGATGTTACTGAAATTTTGAATTTCAGAGTAATTCAGTAAAATGATAAGAATGTGTCTTGATGCTTGATTGAGGTTTTGATACTACCAATAACTCCCAGAGACAAATGATTGTTGCTGTTCTGCAGATGAGAAAACCATGATCCAGCAGCACAAATTATTATTCAATAAACGTTGACTCAAGCCAGGCATAGTAATGCATGCTTATAATCCTGACAGTTGGGAAGGACACACAGGGTTGGGAATGTGGCTCAGTTGGCAGAATGCTCACTAGTATGCATGAGGCTCTAGGTTTGATCTCCAGCACCATGGTGGTGGTACATGCCTGAAATCCCTGTACTTGGGAGGTGGAGGCAGGAGAATCAGAAGTTTAAAGTCATCCTTGGCTACACAGGGAGTTAGATGTCCACCTAGGCTTCATGAGACCCTGTATCAAAAATGAAGTCAAAGAAACCCCCTGGATTTTTAAAATTTACTCATGCCAACACAAAAACACACTCACTCTAAAGGGGATAAAGAGATAGTTTATTCTGGAATCAAATATGAGTGACCATGGTCCAGGAACATAGATTTAGGTTACCACAAATTCTGAATTCCAATGTGGAAGCAGTTTAATGAAGTTATAAAGTAACAGAATAAAGAAACTCATAAAACAAGAACTTTTCAAATACTTTGGTGGAAAAATTGAGTAAGTAGGTAGGTTACAGTAAAGAGGAGAAATCTCATCTATAGGCCTCAGATGCATTTGATGTTACTTTTAGCCTTTCAATTGGTGGAAACTAGGGTTTTTGTTAATACATTATAAAAGGTTTTTATCTGTTAGTCACACGATGTTACCTTAGACATAGAGATGGGCAAGGAATGGCAATTTAGGGAGCTAAAGATTGCCGATGATTATTGTAATTAGATTCTGGACCTGAAACATTCCATCCTCTCTGTGCTCACTGAAGCTCTAATCTGTTTATCAGCTTTACAGAAGGTTCAGTTTGAAGATTCTGTTTCCCTTGTATTTACTGTTATTTTTGCTCTCTGAACTATCTTATTTATATTTGGGATCTTTAAAAAAGTCTATTTCTCCCTCCTCCTCCTCCTCCTCCTGTTCAGAAGTGCCACTTGCATGAGCCTACAAAGGCTTTGCTCAACTTTGGCAGGGTTTCTGGGGTGCTCTGGTCTGCAAGTGAAGCCTGGCAGATCACTGACTGACTAGCAGGGATAAAAGACTTATCTCTTAATTTTAGTTTTTCTTTTGACCAGCTTGATTTCATAGCTCTAACCTAGAAAATATTGATCTTCAACATTCAAATTATCATATTGACTTGATCTGTTTTATTATATTTGCATTATACTAGATTTAGTTTGAAAAAGTAAAGGAACAGCCACATTATAGAAGAAATTAGATAATATAGTGTTTCTTTAAACTTTCTTTTAACAAGATTGTCTTCTTTCATGTATCAAATATTAATAACAGTAATAGAAACAAGAGAGCAGACCTGTTAGAAATAGTTTTTGTAGGGGCTGGAGAGGTTATGAGCACTGGCTGCTCTTGCAGAAGACCTGAGTTCAATTCCCAACACCCAAATGGCAGTTATCAACCATCTGTAACTCCTGTTCCAGGGGATCCAATGCCCTCTTCTGACCTCCATTGGCACTGCATGATATGGGTGCACTTACATAACATACATGCAGGCATAACACTCATATATAAAATAAGTAAATAAAAAGTTAAAAAAGAACTAGTTCTTATAGGCACAACCAAATCTTACTTCGTACTTCTTATTTTAATGGTTAAAAATGGAAATTGAACCCTAGAAGGAGTCACTGTAGTATTGTCCTTTTCTTTTTTATTAGCAAAATACAAATATTGTATGTAAGTACACCATGTGCATGCCATGCCTGTGGAGGCCAGAAGAGGGCATTGGACCCACTGGAAGTAGAGTTATAGCGGGTTGTTAGCCACCATGTGGGTGGTGGGAACCAGTGCTTTTAACTGCTGAGCCGTCTCTCCAGCTCCTTTTTTTTTCAACTAAAGACACAGAGATGAATAATTGTCCTAAATATATTATTACCATGTAACGTAATCCATTAAGATAATCTGTAAACCTTAAGATGGCTATAAGAAGTCTTGAAGGAGCTTTTATAAAAAAATATTTTATTTATTATTTTTATTTTATGTGTATGGCCTGCAGGTAAGTGCACCTGTGTCTGTGTAATGCCTGAGGAGGACAGAAGAGGCTTAAGGACAGTTCATAGCCACCATGTGGGTGCTGGGAATCAAACCCAGGTCCTCTGCAAGAGCAGTCAGTGCTCTTAACCGCTGAGCCATCTCTCCAGCCCTGAAGGAGCTTTTTTTTTTGGTCTTTTTGAGACAGGGTCTTCCTGTAGCCCCAGCTGGTCTGGAACTCACTATGTAGACCAGGCTGGCCTTAAACTCACAGAGATCCACCTGCCTCTGCCTCCCGAGTGCTGGGATTAAAGGCTTGTGCCACCACGCCCAGCTTGAAGGAGCTTTTTTTTTTTAAATGGCATTTTCCCCCCAAAATGTTTGGCGTTATATCTTACATAGGCTTGACTGAGATATGGACCTTGAAAAAGCTATTTGTTCAGTTTTTTTTTTTTGTTTTTTTTTTTTCCAGTTGGCAGTAGATGGTCAAAAATGTCTTTAAAATGTTAATATTCAAATGCAAAAATACATACAAAAAAACTAAAAACACAGAGATAAATCATCCTCTTACTCCTTAGAATGAAGAGTCTAGCATCTCAGAGGAAGGCAGTTATTGGATAGGAAAAATTGCACCCTGGAGCAGGAGTAATCATCTCCTAAAATTAATTTATATGTATACCTCAAGCAATAGGGACCATAAGGTAGAGCCAGAGTTGAGACAAGGAGCAAGGAGATACCATCCTGACATATCACCCTGACCAGAACTGCATTATGTGTGTTTTGTCTTTGGACAGCTGGGGCTACAGGGAGACCCTGCCTCAAAAAAGTCAAAAAAAAAAAAAAAAATCCCATCTTTTTTTTTTTTTTTTTTTTTTTTTGCAAGCCCAAGCCAGACAAAAACCCAGTATGAATGAGGGAGGTTGGCAAGAAGCCCCAGCCCTAGCTGAGGATCTATTGGTAACTGATAGCTGCTGGAAAAGGGAGAGCCCATTTTTTGAAACCTGGTAGACTCCGAGGGATAGACCCACATCCAAGAGCATTTGGGGAACACAAATTAGACTCAATAGGCTTTTAAAAATATGGAGGAAATGATATCAGGGGAAGGAGTAGGGGTAGAGATGGGGGAGGGGGTCTGAATATGATCATAAGACATAGTATGAAATTCTCAAAGAATCAATACTTTTTTTTTAAAGCAAACAACAACAACAACAAAACACATCAGGCGTGGTTGCACACATCTTTAATCCCAGCACTCAGGAGCCAGAGGCAGGTGGATCTCTGAGATTGAGGCCAGTGAGTTCCAGGCCAGCTGGGGCTACAGGGAGACACTGTCTCAGAAAAAACAAAACAAAACAACAAAACAAAACACAAAACCCCCAAAAATTTAAAATTAAAAACTCTTGGCCTGGAGAGATGGCTCAGCAGTTAAGAGCACTGACTGCTCTTGCAGAGGACCCGGATTTGATACCCAGCACCCACGTGGGCTACGAACTATCCTTAACTCTAGTTCCAGGAGAATCTGAAGGCCTCTTCTGACCTCCACAGCATTGCACGATATGGGTGCACTCACATACATGCAGACAATACACTCATACACATAAAATAAAAATAATAAATAAAATATTTTTTAAAAACCTCTTAACGCTCTGTTTCACCCATGTTCACATTGATTAAACATCCTCTCTTTGTTCTTTGCCATCATCCTGCCTCCCTACTTGGCATCCTGGGCATGTGGCCAAGCTTACTTAGCTTGTTGGGCCAGTTGGAGTTGGGACTGTTTTCCTTAAATTTTTAGTTTTATCAAGAGCCAAAGGAAACTGGGCTAATTTAACAACTGTAGTCTATGTGAGTACTTACTTACTGGCCAATTTGGTATCAAGTAAGTGATATTTAAAAATAGATAAGCACATGTTGACAATGCATACACACATAATCATACATAATCATACATAACAATATAAAAACCAAGATTTTTTTAAAACCAAGATTTTTTTTAAATTTATTTGTTATTGTTATTTTATGCACGTGAGTGTATTGCCTGCATGTATGTGAGTGCACCCATGTCGTGCAATGCCATGGAGGTCAGAAGAGGGCTTTGGATTCCCCTGGAACTGGAGTTACAGACAGTTGTTAGATGCCATGTGGGTGCTGGGAATCAAACCCAGGTCCTCTGCAAGAGCGATCAGTGCTCTTAACCACTGGGCCATCTCTCCAGCCCTAAAACCAAGATTTTTTTAATGTTACTGCATGTTAGGATTGTGTCTCTTATAATTCTCACTATGAAAAGGAAACAACACAAAGATCTTTAGCAAACATATATATCCATTATTTTACATGTAGTTCAGTCTTAATAAAAACCTTACATTTATATGTAGGACTACATATAAAATCCAGGGATAAATATTGAGACCCTGTCTCTAAAAGAAGAAGAAGAAAAAAATTTTTTTTTGTTTTTTTTCTTTGAGATAGGGTCTCCCTGTAGCTCCAACTGGCCTGGAACTCACAATGTAGACCAGGCTGGCCTCCATCTCACAGAGATCCTCCTGCCTCTGCCTCCTGAGTGCTGGGATTAAAGGCATGCACCACCACATCTGGCAAGAAATCATGATTTTTATGTTACCTATGACTGTTATACAAATGAAATAAAAATTTAATTTACATATATATTTATTTGAACATGTTTTGGAAGGAAATGCTTATCAAAATCTATGTGTAAAGCATTAACATTTAGGGGCCGGAAAGATGGCTCAACAGTTAGGAACACTGGTTGTTCTTCCAGAAGACCCCGGTTTGAATCCCAGCACCCATATGGCAGCTAACAACTGTCTGTAACTCCAGTTCCAGGGGATCCGATGGTCTCTTCTGTCCTCCTTGGGCATTGCACGACAAGGGTGCACTTACCTACATGCAGGCAATACACTCATACACAAAATAAAAATATTAAATAAAATATTTTTTAAAATATTAACATTCAAAGTTTAATGAACTACAGTGAATGTTGTTTTATATAAACAATTAGCTTTTTAAGATTTTATGAAACATTTAATAGGTCCAAAGATATATTTTAATAGATTTTAAGATGTTCGGAGTACCCAAATTTATAATGCTGTATGTATTTATCAGGCCTTTTAATATACCACCCAGAACTCACATTTATAAGTATGCACATGTGCATTTTCATTGGGCACGCAAAAATAAAAATAATAATTTTAGCACACAGTAAAAATGAATGAAAAAAACTGAGGTGACTACAGCTTGTTACATTTTTTTTTGCACAAACAACATATGAAAACAATTATCCTGTATATACATGACACAATTACATGAAATCTGAAATCTAGGTGTACCCCCTCCCCAAGGCAGAAGGTTTATGTCCCTGTCTCTTCTAGACATGGGAAATGCTTAGTAGCATAAAAGATCAAAAGGTGAAGTTTGTTGTGTAGACTTAATGTCTCTTCCTCTTAAGAGCTAAGTAACTGAGGGGGAGATGCCTTTTCTGATGAAAATGGTTTTCTCAATGTTACTTTAGGCCAAAGTTTTGGGGTTTTTTTCTCTTTTAATTTATAGTGAAGGTAAATTGTATTTTCCATGCTTGGTTTTGTATCTGAAAGGAAAAGGAAAGGAAAGAATAAAAGAAGTAGAGATTTTGGGTCAGACATGATCTCCTGGCCAGTGTTAGTCTGGGACACACATCCTATCTAGATCTAGCAATGCTGGCCAGTCTCTTATCTTGAATTAGGCAACACAGGACTGTCCCATACAGCCATTTACCATTTGGTCATTACTAATGCTCAGGTGGCCATTTTTCCCTCTAAGCATCCCTAGGGGCCCTTGGATCAGAAGTGCTTCTGTCCAGTGTGAAGTTAAAAGACATGACTATACACAATAATTGGGCTTTTTTTTTTAACTTCTCATAAAGTGAGAACATACAGAGTTTAAATTTATCTGTTTTGACCTTAAAAATTATTGAAGTCAACCTCTTCTTCAGAACAGCGTAGGGGAAGGAAGCCTGCAGTGCCCCGTCTAAGCTATTAGCTTTACAGCAAACAAGGAAGTCAGGCA